AATAATTATTATTCAAGTGTGGAAATATTCTACATGCCACTAATCAAAAACTCATGTTAAACTACAAAATGATTTCTAAGTTTGTCAATTTAACAACCAATGCACAGCTAACAGATATTAAAAGAAATATATTCCTAAGGCTATCAGGATATATTAATGAATTAACTAATTACAAATGTGGAATAGTGTATATAATATGCTTATTATGTATGAATGGAAAATATATTTGTATTTCTGTAAAGAAACAATAGAAAGATACAAAAGGAACAAAAGGAGTTATCTACAGAGGATGGGGGGAGAAAAACAGGGATAGGAGTTAGACTTGTCCACGTTCATCTTTTCAAGCTGTTTTCATTTCTGAGCCGTGTAAATATAAATCTATATTTAAATCAAAAAAGTACATATTTTATATAACCGTAAGTATTTCTTTTGAAATCAACAAATATAAATACACTCACAAATATGTATGTATGGTTTAAAGAACAGAACAATAAAACTTTTAAAAGACAAAGAATTAGGGGCACCTGGGTGGCTCAGTAGTTAGGCGTCTGCCTTCGGCTCAGGTCATGATCCCGGGGTCCTGCGATCGAGCCCCACATCGGGCTCCCTGCTCAGCGGGAAGCCTGCTTCTCCCTCTGCCACTCCCCCTGCTTGTGTTCCCTCTCTCACTGTGTCTCTCTCTGTCAACTAAATAAATAAAATCTTTTTTTTTTTTTTTTTAAAGAGAGAATTAAAGGAACGTTTTTCAAAACACTGGAAGCCATGTTTCTGGGTCACAGTTCTGACTAAATAAAATTTCACAATAATGGCTCTTTTTCTTCCCTTCAAAACTTGAGAGTATTTTCCAAACTACAACAACTCTAAAATAGATGATACTTACAAAAAAAAAAAAAAAAAAGAAGAAGAAGAAAAGGCCAAAAGGATCTGGGGGGGGCAGGGGGAAAAAGACTTGATATAAATTTTTATTTATGCACTAAATAATTCCACAATATACTGATGGTGACAAATCATTTTGATAAAAATACCAAAGCTTATAGAAAAAGCTTTTCCTAAAGTTCCCTCCACAATCCCCACAACCACCTTCTTAAATAGATCTGTACATTTTATAAAATTAGATTAAAACCAAACGGCAATGCTTTTTAAAAAACTCTAGACTGTTGCCTACTACACGAATAACTGTATGAAATACATTCCAATCCATAACTTCCCTCTACTTCAACCTACCCTATTTAAATCTATTTTAGGAAAATACACATCACATGGGTGTGGCTTCAGAACACCCCTCTTACACCAATGACATTTCTCAGTCTTCTCTAAAGCACACCAGATACCTAGAATACCTCGCAGACAACCTACAGTAATGTTCAATATTCTTATGCTACCATCAGCAACCCATAACTAAACATATGTATGTAGGTTCCTAGATAACATAAACCAAATCTCTACAAGTTCTCCATATATACTAATGATTATATATACTATATACTATATACTATGAGTATATATACTAAAATGATTTCAAAAATTAAAAACAAACTATAAGTGGTTACCAGGTGCTGGCGGGGGGAGGGGGTGGGGGTGTGTTGTTATCTAGTAAGCAGAGTTTTAGTTGGGGATGATGAAAAGTACTGGAAATGGGTAGTGGTGATAATCCCACAACAGTGTGAATGTACTGAATGTCACAAACATGCCACAAAATGTTTAAAGTCATAAATTTTATGTTATATATATTTTACAACAAAAATAAGCAAACAAAAGAAATATTATGAACACCACCGTAAGTATCCCACAGTTTACTGCTCACCTGAAAAGCACCTTCATAATTTTCTACTATTAAGCTGATCTGAGAATATCTAACACAATTGTGTAACACTTATCCTTAAGCATGTAGGTACAACACCTAGGGCCCACAATAATTTTAGGGGTCCACACAAAAATGTTTTAATTTATTTTATTTTTTTCCAAAGCAAAGTTTACTGAGCGATAGTAAAGTGACAGTACAAAGCTCCCAAAGAGGAAGGGGAACCGAGAGCGTTGCCCATTTTATTTTAAAAGAAAAAGAGAGAAAAAATGAACTTTTGGGGCAAAGAAAATGTTTGGATGTATAGTAATATAGTTGTCTTTTTGTAACAATGCAGTCATAAAATAGTTTTATTAATTTTCATGGACAAAGGGACCCATGAAGGCAAAAGTGCCAAAGGCCCGTGGAAGTGAACATGGCCCTAATGGTTTCTGTTTCCTACTATGAAATTATCAAGGTACAACAAGAAAGTGAAAATACAACTGGATATGTATGTAAAACATTATTCTTAAAGAGAAATCACAAACCAAATTATTATGAAAAGAATCTACAAAATGAATACCAAATTTATCTTTACTAATGTAAAGATGAAAAGAAAACTGACAGAGTGAAGAGAGGAGGGACTTTGTAACTGGAATGCTAGATAAAAGCTTTATCTCTAAAATATACTAGGATGGAATTAGGTTGATACCTAATCCTTGACAGACAAATTGTCACAAAATTGAATTTCAATCAAAAAGAGGTTAAGTTGGCACCCACTTAACCATGTGCCTGATACTACTATAAACACTTTATATATGTTAATTAATCTCACACTGACAATAAGCCCCCTGTGAAGAAGACACTACTTTTATTCCTACATAGCAGGGACCCCTGGGTGGCTGAGTCGGTTAAGTGTCTGCCTTCGGCTCAGGTCATGATCCCGGGTTCCTGGGGTTGGGTCCCACATCGGGCTCCTTGCTCGGCGGGGAGCCTGCTTCTCCCTCTGCCTGCCTCTCCCCCTGCTTGTGTTCTGTCTCTCTCTCTCTCTCTGACAAATAAATAAATAAATAAAATCTTTATTCCTACATAGCAAATGAGGAAGATATGATACTTACCCAGTGTGACACAGCAAAGTGGTCAGAGCTAGGATGTGAACCCAGGCAGTCTCACCCCAAAGTCCATACTCTCAACCACTAAGCTATCTGCTTCTTTACTCTGCACAACAAAAATTAATGGACCTTTTCATTCTACAAATCTAAGTCTATCAGATAGACATGAACTACCATTACACAAAACAAAATACAAATAAAAATGATTTTGATAGAGTGCTTTCAGGATTCACAGGACCATAATATGATTTGCTGTAAAGGGGATAAAGAAAGCTTTGTGGAAAAAATGATATGTATATTAGGCCTGGAAACATATGAGACACAGAAACAGAAAATGGGAGAATAAAATATTTCACACTAAAGGAATACAAGGACCAAAAGCATTAAACTAAGGTAGAAAAGCACTGGCACTGAAAAGCTTGAGTTGAAAAAAACGGTACTTAGAGTAAATGGAAAATAAATGAGTCAGATGCCTAGACGGAGGTCAGACAACTCACTGGTCATGAGTAACATGGTCAGAGTTGTTCCAGGGCAACGAGAGATAAGAAGTGGACAGAAAAGAAATGGAAAGAAATGTCCGAAGGATAATTCACTAGTCCAGGCATGGTAAGGAATGTCTCAAGTAAAGTGGGACCAACAGAAATAGAGAAAAAGGAATAGATATACAGCACACAGAAGCTACTCAAATTCCAATTAAATTAAGGAACTAACAGAAAGAAAAAGACTCAGTACACTAAAATATAAAGACAACAAAGCAGATGGGTGAGGCCACATTTGGAGGCCATATTTTGGGGAACCTGACAAGGGACGCATGTTACAGGCCGAAAAGGGCTTGACTGAAGGGGTAGAAAGACCTTGAAGACAAACTGCCCTTGCCTGATTTGGCCAGGTTCAAGAAGTTAACTGAGAAAACTTTGTAATATCAACACTCTGTGAGATATTTTGGAGGCAAATTGACAGAATTTAGCAACAGTATTAATGTGGAGGTGACTGAGGTTTTAAGTGCAAATGAAATAATCTTGTCATTAACAGAGATAAGAAACAAAAGAGGGAAAGCAGGTTTAAAGCAAAAAGAGACATGACTTCAGGTTTCTACATGGTGAGATCAAAGCTTATACAGTATGATGTCCAGAAATAATGATGTGTCCACAAGACTAATGCTACGGTGAGAAAAATCAGAGCTGAAAACACAGATGTCACCCATACAAAGATATGTAGAAGTTGTAAGATTTAAAAAAAATGTACTAGGAAAGAAGAAAGTATTAGGGGAAAAAAAAATGGACCAAAGAAAGTTTAAGGAACTGCCTATATTTAGGAGGGAAGGAAGGAGAGCCAAAGAAAGCATCATCAGAGGGTTAAGATTAGCACCACAAGAATCAAGTATAGGGGTGCCTGACTGACTTGGCTGGTGACGCATGCAACTCTTGATTATGAGTTCAAGCCCCATGTTGGGAGCCCCATGTTGGATGTAAAAGTTGCTTAAAAATAAAATCTTAAAAAAAAAAAAAAAGAATCAAATATAAAATAGTGTTCTCTAACAAAGGAAAGCACATTAATAAGACAATATTTTTGTGGCACAAAGGGGTGAATGAGGCTAATAACCAGATGTTACTAGCCCAGGAATTAAGGAAATTATTAATCTGTATACCAGTTAATCCACTTGTTGTACTGAAAGCTCTGTATTAACAAAAAGGCTTTACGCCAAAAAGTTTAAGATTATACTGTCCTAAACTCTCTTTCTATAGTCACTGATTAGTTAGGTGGAATATTGCAGATACAACAATGAAGAAAAGAACTGAAAAATAACCGTGAAACTTGAGAAATCAATTGAGAAATCACTAATGGTTTTAAAAATCAGTGGAAAAAGCTAGACTTCAGGAAGCAACTATGGGCAAGGTTTTAATGAAAATATCAACATTGTTACCAGTCATGTTATCCTAATTGGTTATAGAGAATAACTTAAAGGGGATGATTCCTCAAATCTTGCTAGCAAAAATATTCCCTTTTTAAACTAAATTGTCATTATAATATGTTTTACCTTCTAACTCATTTTATTCATGTTAATAAAGAGAATAAATAAAGCTCCTCTGAAACTTTGTAACACTTACCCAGTTCGAGATTGACCAACTTTATCACAAATATCCAAAATGAGGCCCCAATCCTCAGCAGTATTCATCTCACTTGTTGCTTTCTCTGTGTATTATGAAAAGAAATTGCAGAAACATTATTTTTAAAAATCTTTAAGAGGTAAATAATCACATTCAAATGACCAAATTGTGATAAGAAATCAGAATAGTTGCCAGCGGCCTGTTTAATGAGATGGTCAAGTACATCTTCAATGATGTAATGAGCACTGGGTGTTATATGCAACTGATGAATCACTAAATCCTATCCCCGAAACTAATAATACACTATATGTTAACTAAATTGAATTTAAATAAAAAAAAATTTTTTAAATAAAAAATAAAAAAATATTTTAAAAAGAAAAAAAATAAGCCATTGATGGGACACCTGGGTGGCTCAGTTGGTTAAGCATCTGACTCTTGATTTCAGCTCAGATCTTGATCTCAAGGTCCTAAGATTGAGCCCCACGTCTGACTCTGCTGCACTCAGTGCAGAGTCTGCTTGTCCCTCTCCCTCTGCTCCTCCCCCTGGCCCCACATGCATTCTCTCTGAAATAAATAAGTAAAATCTTAAAAAAGAAAGAGAAGTAGGCCATTGATACTTATTTATTAAAAAAAAAAAACCCTACATACAGGTCTATTCCCTTCCCCATGAAGAAAGACTAAAATAAAGACATACTTCCATTATCAAATAATTCTTAGGTTTACTTGCCAATGAAGAAACATGACAAGGCACAAATCTCTAACAAAAAGTTTCAGGCAATTACATCAATTATATGATTTTGTTGATTTTCATGTCTGACATGGGGAAGAAGGAAAATGAACAAAAGAAACCAAGCTCTGAGTACTTTCCATTAAATGAAAACGACAAATTAAGAACATCAACAGAGGTATCACAGAGGGAGCCCAATCATCTCATTAAGCTCCCACCCTTAATTAAAATAAAAGATTTTTTAAGGCAAACGCAGAAGGATAAGGAAAACATGAGAAGCAGTAACAGCAACAATATCTCAAAAACTATGTAATATAGATATATGGTACCTACTTAGAAGACCCAAAAAAGATGCATCATATACTGGCAGTAACAAAAAAGCTTAAGAACCAGCCTGTTTTACACCACTGAATTCTCAGAAAAGTCAAGTACTGGTAGCAGAAGGAAATGCCTGCAGCTGACAGCAGAGAAGAAAGAGGACTTAGAATGGATTAATGCTGTTGAAAGTGTGTAGGTAGGTACCTACTTTGCCTTCCTTACTCAAAGAGCAACCAGCTCTCCCCAACCCACCTGAGCAAATGAGTGATTTTTTTCCGGAGATAAAGCAAAGTTTCTCTAGACAAGGAGACACAAAGCATAGCTGAGACATAAGCACCAAAAATAAGGAATTACTTCCAGTTTCCAGTATAGCATTTAAGGAACTTGGAAGTTACCACTCCATCCAACAAGTAAAAAGCTGAGTAAAGTGAAAAATGAACAACTCTTCTGAGATCCCTCAAAAGTGAGGTCACAGGCCAAATGCTGTCCCCAAAATTAGAGACACAGACAGATGGATACACAGAGTAACAATTTAACAGAGCAGAAACCCCTAAGCAAAAATATCACCAAGAACCAGTACCACAGATCTAACCTGTAACAGAGAAACTGCTGGAGGCTAAGTGTACACAATTCTGAGAGCTAAAATCCAAAATGGCCCAGACATAGGGGATTTCCCACATTTTTGTAAATTTTATTTTCATGAGCTTTCCCAGGATCTCAAGGTAAATATCAGAAAAAATTTTCTATTTTTCAGCAAGGGGAAGAGGACAATAACTATTGTGAGATACACCAGAGCATTCTCTTCTTAACAAGGCCACTTGTTAATTCTTTTAACCAGCACCTAACCAACTAGGGTGTTACCATAGATTAACCCACCTAGGGTAAGGGAAATTCCTAACTCCAGCCTGCTCCAGCCTCCCATGTGGAAGAAGGGGAATACCCAAATTCAGCCTATCTAGCCATCTTTTCCCACCTAAGAGGGGGAAAAAAACTGAGAAGCAGGTGAGAAATTCACACCCCAGGGGCAGAGGCTCACTTTAAAAGACTGAGACCTAATCACCAAACTATAGAACACTTTTTACCGAACGCCTTACTATTATGTCATTAAAGGACAGTGTTCCTTTTTTTTTTTTTTTTTTAAGTACGGTGTTTCTTTTATCTAGTACATCATGTCTAGCTTTCAGCAAGCCACACTATAAGGCAAAAAACACAGTTTGAAGAATAAGCATCAGAACCAGATTCACACATGACAGGAATGCTGGAGTTATCACACCAGGAATTTTAAAAGCTATAATTAATATGCTAAGAGCTTTAATGGAAATAGGAGACAACATGCAAGAACAGATAAAGAAAATAAGCACAGAAATGGAAATTCTGAAAAAGAATCAAAAAGAAATACTAGAAATCAAAAACAGTATAACAAAAATGAATGCCTGTGATGCACTCATCAACAGAGAGAACGTGGCTAAAGAATCTCTGGACTTGAGCATATGTCAACAGGAACTTCCAAAACTGAAAAACAAAGGAAAAAAAAATGACTGGAAGGAAAAAAAAAAAAACAAACTTGCAACAGATTATCCAAGAACTGTGGGAAACTACAAAAAGTAAAACAGACATAACTGAAATAGCACAGAAGAAACAGAATACTTAAAGCAAAAACAACTCAACATTTCCCCAACTTGATGTAAGACATCAAACCACAGGTCCGGGAAACTCCAAGAACACTAAGCGTAAGTATCAAAAAAAAAAAAACTACACCTAGGTATACCATTTTCAAACTGCAAAAAATCAACGATAAAGAAAAGAAAGAAAGTAAAAAGAAGAAAGAAAGAAAAAAAGCCAGCAGAAGAAAAACACCTTACCTATACAGGACTAAACATAAGAATTACATCTGACATCTTAGAAAGCATGCAACAAAAGAGGAAATGGAGTAAAATAGTGTTGAGAGAAAATAACCACCAACCTACTATGTACCCTGTGAAATTATTCTTCAAAAGGAAAGAAGAGAGAAATAAAAGGAGTACGTTTAAAAAAAAAAAAAAAAAGGAAAGAAGAAAAAACGTCTTTCTCAATAAAAAAACCGTTAAGGAAATTTGTTGCCAAATAAATGCCAAAAAACTGACCTTGCAAAAAATGTTAAAAAAAAAAAAAGTTCTTCAGAGAGAAGAAAAATATGATATAGGAGGGGTGTGTGCTTCCATATAAGTGAAATAAATGACAGCAAGGGTATCAGGAACAGAGGAGAGAGGAACTGGGAATATTTTGTTATTCATTTCACTTGCCTGCACTACCAGTGAAGTGGTATAATGTTATTTGAAGTGGATTTGGACTACTTTTAAATGTACATTGCAAACTCAGGGGTAACCACTAAAAATAACAAAAACAGAAGTATAAGTGATATGCTACAAAAGAAAAAAGACTGAATCATATGAAATACTCCATGGGATGCCTGAGTGGCTCAATCAGTTAAGCATCTGCCTTTGGCTCAGGTCATGATCCCAGGATCCTGGGATCGAGTCTGCATCAGGCTCCCTGCTCAGCAGAGAGCCTGCTGCTCCCCCTGCTTGTGCCCCCCACCCCTGACAAATAAATGAATAAAATTAAAAAGAAATGCTCGATTAAAATCATGAAAGGAAAAAAAAAGTGGAAGAAAAAATAGGAAGAAAACTGTAACGGATATGGTAGACATTAATCCAACAATATCAATAATCACTTTAAACGTTAGTGGTCTAAATACAAATATTGCCACAATGAAAAAAAAACACAAAATGCAATTATATGTTGTCTACAGGAAGCCTACTTTAAATATAAAGATACATATACATTAAAAGTAAACAGATGGAGAAAAATAACCATGCCAACACCAATTAAAAGAAAAATCAATACAACCAAAAGTTGGTTCTTTGAAAATATCAATAAAATTGACAGTTGAAAAGGAAAAAAGATAACAAACTACTAGCATCAGAAATGAAAGCGGGGATATCACTACAGATCTCATGGACATTAAAAGGATATTATATGAACATTACAATGGCTCAATACTATTGAGAGGATCATGGGAACCTCCAATTTACAGCCAATCAGTAAGAAGCATAGGACATATCCCGGACTTTGACTGGCATCTGAAGTGGAGAGGGAGGGCAGTCTTGTGGGACTGAACCCTAAACCTGTGGGATCTGACACTATTTCTAGTTAGATAGATAGTGTCAGAATTGAGTTAAATTTGTGGGACACTGGTCAGTGTCCACTGAGAATTAGAGAACTGCTCAGTGGTGTTGGAAAAACACACATTAGAATTATGAACTCTATGCCTACAAATCTGATAACCTAGAGAAAATGGATCAATTCCTTGAAAGACACATCTGTCAAAATACACACAAAAATAGACAATCTGAAGAGGCCTATATCTATAAAAGAAATTGAACCAATAATTAATAACCCTCCAAAACAGAGAGCATCAGGCACAGAGAGGCTAATGGTAATTTCTACCAAACATTTAAGGAAGAAATTATACCAATTCTCTCCAATCTCATCTAGAAGACAGAAGCAGAAAATACTTCATTCTATGAGAGCAGTATTACCCTAGTACCAAAACCAAAGATATTATTAGGAAGAAAAAAAAAACTACAGATGACCATAGATGCAAAAATCCTTAACAAGATATTAGGCAAATCAAATCCAACAATATAAAAAAAGAATTCTACATCACAACCAAAGGGGATTTATCCCAGGTAAGCAATGCTGGCTCAGTATTCAAAAATCAGTAAATGTAATCCAACTCATCAACAGCTAAAGAAGAAAAATCACATGATCTTATCAATAAACTCAGAAAAAGCATCTAACAAAGTCCAACAACCCATGATAAAAATTCTCAGCAAACTAGGGATAACAGGGAACTTCCTCAACTTGATAAAGAACATCTACAAAATATCTATAGCTAATATATTTAATGGTGAGAGACTAGTAGAAGCTTTACCACTAAGATCAGAAACAAGGCAAGGATGTCTTCTCTCATCACACATTTTCACCAGCATACTGGA